GTCCAGGTTTGTTGCATTCGCAGCAGGTTACTTCAGATTTTTTGTGATCGGAGTGCATGACGTGTTTCATGTGAGTATGCTTCGGAAGTATGAGCCAGATCCATCACATGTGCTGGATTGGACAGATTTATAGGTAGATGAGGATGCCTCGTATGAGGAGAGACCGGTTCGGGTCTTGGATAGGCGGGATCAGGTCCTGCGTGGCAAGACCATTCCTTTAGTTAAAGTCTTGTGGAAACATTACGGAGTGGAGGAAGCCACTTGGGAACGTGAGTAGGAAGTCTGTGAGAAATATCCGGACTTGTTTGTTGATATGTAATCTTGTATTTACATTTTGAACTATTGTTGAACTTAAGAGCTTTTATATATGTCTTAAGTTGTTAAACATTTAAAATGTTTTGGTTTATTGGAAGTATGTTTTGGAACTTGCCTCATATGGAAGTTGAATGTAACATTATATATGTTGAATATATTGTTGAAAATTGGAAAGGAAATGCGTAATGTGATGCATGTTGAAAGTACATATGTTGTTTACATATTGTGAAATGCCCCTTGTTAAAGGGATGGCATGACCGGTAATGGGTCGAATTGTTGAATGTTAAAATGTAACATTGTTTAAAATGGAGGAAAAACCTGTTTTTGAAAACTTGTGCTTAATTTTGGGGACGAAATTCTTTAAGGGGGGGAGGTTATAGCGATCCCGGATTTACCCTTATTGTACAGTGATCCGGACATGTGTCCGTGGATGTTGGTAGTTGATTATTATCTTGTTTACATCCCTTTTACTTCGTATTTGAGTTATAGGATGTGTTGGGCAGGTTTGTTACAGGTTGGTTGAGTTTAGAAACCAAAACTAGTTGCCCAGATTTTGACCTGTCCGCTCGAGCGGGGGTTTTGGCGCTCGAGCGGGAATTGCACGCATCCAGTATTTCCTGTGCAGAGTTGGACGCTCGAGCGTGGGATTGGCCGCTCGAGCGGGGTTGTGTGAGTGTCGCTCGAGCGGGGAGTTGGAAGCTCGAGCGGAGACCTGGTTCTTTAAAAGTTCTGGGAGTGTGTATCCGCTGCTCGATCGGGATTGTTGACGCTCGAGCGGGAGTCTGTGAGTGACGCTCGAGCGGGGTGTTTAACGCTCAAGCGGGGCGACTGGGTTAAAGCTCCGTGTTTTGACTTTTCAAATCACTATTTCACTTTCTATTCTCTCTCCTACTTTTCCAAAAACACCATTGTTGAGCCTCTCACTCTAGAACTCTACCTTCTCTCTAGGTTTTGATCTAGTAGGAGTGATTTGCTCATCTTTGGCCTTTACAAAAAAGTTGTTGATCGTCGAGGGCTACATTTTAATCTGAAAATTTCGGGATTTGGAGCACGTTGGGTTTTGTCATCTTCTCCCTTGGAGCTCCGAATTTGAGGTAGGGATATCCTACTCCTCTCTATGGATTTTGTCTTTAAATTTTGGTATTTTGAGACGTTGGGGTTGGTTTGGTAATCTTGTGAAGATTTGGGGCTTTTGTGTTATTTTACAAAGGTTGGGGTTTTATTTATGACAAACCTAGATGCATGTTTGGTATAGAGAAATGGAATTAATGTTGAATCATTGATGAAAATTGGACCTAAGGGTTGAAATGGTGATTATGAAAAATGACCTAATTACATTATTTAATTAATTGGAATAATTAATTGTGAGAAATGAGGAAATGAAATGGAATTGTCGAGATTGGGAATGTATGGGGTTAAAGGGTGTAGTTGAATTATTTATCACTCACCGAATTGAAATGTTGATTGAATATCCATTGTGCATTTATTTTCTGTATAGAGATAACTGCTTTGGGCTATCGGTGGAGGATAGTCGTGATTGTTGTAGACAATGCATGATGATTAGGCAAACGGAAACTAATCAATGGAATGTGTCATGGAATTTTACGGTTGATGGAATACATTAATTGTATGTATTGAGTGATTGTATATAGAACCAATGTGTTTGTATACGTTATGTGTAGAGGAGGAGATGGGGGATGTACTCCGCGGTTTAGGGGAAGATAGGGGATGTACCTCTAAACCGGATAGTGTTGGGAGAATATAAGGGATGAACTCCGTAGATACAGCTCATATGCTTGTCTAGAGAAGTGAAGATAGAGCTCATATGCTTATCTTTGTGAAGTGTGGATACAGCTTATATGCTTATGTGTGAATGTGGGATATTGTCGTTATACATATCTGTTGAGAATGTGGATATAGCTTATATGCTTATCTGTGAATGTGGGATATAGTTTTTATACATATCTGTTGAAATGATGATAGAGCTAACATGCTTATCTGTTGAAAAATGGGAAAATGAAAAGTAACTTGGACTCATAAGTCGTATGACATAAATATGTGATTTATGTGAATGTATCAGTGTTGGCCATCTATCAATTGCTAATCTTTTAGTCATTGTTCATGGTTGGTTTAGTGTATTTCTACTGGGCTGTGGCTCACCCTATATGGGAATATCATTTTCAGGTACAGGTAGCATGCCACCTCCAAGGACATAGCTTGGGAGGCTAGAGGCGGACATACTTTTGTCGTTTTATTTTTGATGTATTACATGTAAATTCAAGCCAAGGGCTTAATGTGTAAACGAGTTAGTACTCTTTTGTTGTAACCAAGTGTTAACTTGGAAAGCTGTAAGCCCGTAGGGCATTTTGCTTTTGTTATTAACATGTAATACTTTTGTAATGAAACTCTGATGAATAGAAGAATGTGGTTATTTCATATGTCAATGAATCTCTTATTTGATGGGTTTAATGTTATTATTTTGAGGGCGTTACATATTCAATTTATTGCCAGATTCAAAAGAGAACGAAATAAGTGTAGGGTCATTCTATCAAAGCCTAAATTTGTGAGATTGACTCAAAATGATTTAGAGTTTAGGCTTTGAAAGAAGTTTGACTCAACTGAGTTTCAAGACTTAGTGGAATTAACATAAAGTTTCCAGATATGAAACCTTGCTTGAAGAAGAATAGGATCGAAACAATGCATCCTATAAGACGTATTATAGGGCCCTAATTGTGAAATTGATGCAGCAAAGATCATAAGAAAAGAACCTATGATCTGTGAAGCATTAATTCATAAAGACGCTACAATAGACCAGCAGTTTAAAAAGAAAGACCTTCATAGGAAATACTCTTTCGATTTAACGATGGCAGATGACATTTTTGATCATTTGCTTGTAGTGAATTTCCTAAAGTTACCAAAAGGAGTTAAAATTCCTTCTCCAGAAAAACTTAAAGGGAAAATGTATTGTAAATGGCACAATTCTTAGTCTCACTCAACTAAAAACTGTATTATTTTTCAGAACAGGATCCAAGAACAGATTCAAAAAGAGGAGTTTAAAATCCCTAGCTAAAGCAAAGAAAGTTATGGGGATTTACAC